CGTACCACAAAAAAAAAAAAAAAAAGAACCCTGTACAATGAGTACAGAATGACCTGACCTGCATCAAGGCACATCCTGATGGAAGTTCAGAATGCTGGTAATAAGGAAAATATGCTGAAAGTTCTAGAGAGAAAACACTAAGGCTCAGGAGTTCTAACAACACTAGGGCTAGAAGACAGTGTCATCAAAATTCTGAGAGAAAATGACTTCTAACCTAGAATGTAATCCAGATAAACTATCCACCAAATGTGAGGGGAGAACTAAGACATTCAGGGCTGTATAAGTTCCTCTAAAATGTGTTCCCTCATCCCTTTCTAGAGGAGAATGTGCTTCTCCAAAAGGAGAGAGTAAACCAAGAAAGAGAAGGAGATGAGAGTCACTTCCGACACAGGACAAGTAAAGGAAACCTCCGGAAGGTGGGTAAAGGGAACTCCCACGACGAGTGAAGGCTTAGAAAGCAAAGAACTCAGACTGAAGAAATAAGTCATGGGGACGTCACCCCATGTGGGATGGGGTGGAATGTCACCAACGCAAAGGAGGACCGAGAGACTGAGATTTGTACTTGAAGATGTCGAGAGATTTACTCTCCTGGCTGAGAGTTTGGGGGAGATTTGTTACAGAGAGAACTCAGCAAACTAAAAATCAAAACAAAACCCCCAAAACACTATGTAGTTATTGACTGCTGGGAAATCCAAAAGCTGGAGAAAGGAAATTGTACACCAAGTGCACAGATGTGAGTATTTCAAAGTCATAATGATGTAAAAAATGAATATAGTTTTAACTAAAAACGATAATAGAGGTAAACTGAGAGGATGGGGGAGGGGAAACGTGGGTGGTGAAGGTCTAAGAGAGATAAAGCTAAGTCCTCATTTTTACAGCTGGAAGTTAATAGAGAAATTATTTATACTTCTGAACATAAATACCAGATGAAACAGCTACATGAATCATAAATGACTGCCCTGGGGAGCAGCAATGGGGGCAGGGGGAGGAGGCTGGAGATGATAAGCCTTGGCATACTTCTGATTTTTTAAAAAAAATTATGCACATGTATTATATGGATAGAAATAAAATTTAAACCAAAAGATAATGTAGGGACTCCCCTGGCGGCACAGTGGTTAAGAATCTGCCTGCCAATGCAGGGGACATGGGTTCAAGCCCTGGTCCGGGAAGACCCCACATGCTGAGGAGCAAGAAAGCCCGTGCGCCACAACTACTGAGCCTGCACTCTAGAGCCCGCGAGCCACATCTACTGCAGCCTGTGCACCTAGAGCCTGTGCTCCGCAACAAGAGAAGCCACCGCAATGAGAAACCCATGCACGGCAACGAAGAGTAGCCCCTGCTCGCTGCAACTAGAGAAAGCCCTCGCGCGGAAACGAAGACCCAACACCACCAAAAATAAATTAAAAAAAAAAAAAAAAAGATAACGTAAAGTACTGTTTTTAAAGTGTCCTTATTCTGAATAATGCCCTTGTCATATGTGAGGTTTTGCCATAGCGCCTCTAAGGGAAACTCATAGTCACCTAATCTTTTATTATATTTATGTCCAGCTTCCTAGCCTGACAGAGCAGGCACTCAACATACTTGATGATGGATTTTTAATGACTGATGTGTGAGTTCTTGCTTTTGACTCTAGGGATTCGCAGTATTTGTGTGTCCCTTTATGAGACTTCCAAAGGCAGGGCCAGACCTGCTGCCCTGTCCTCATCTATGGGGCCCAGACGGCAGGGGGCACAGGTCAGGCACCGGGCCTCCGGTGGGAGGCTGTGCGCTGGGTACACCTGGCCTCCCAGGTAAGCCTCGCGCTTTGGGGCCGGCCACCTCCCGCTGCCCCTGGGCTCCAGGCCGGGAGGCTCCCTCCACAGAGCCCCTCCCAGCTCACTGAGACGTAGTCCCGGTCACAGTCCGGGGATGGCTCCAGGTCGAAGTCCTGGAAGACGAGCCTCACGGCAAAGCCCTCTGGAGCCTCGATGTCCGTGGAGCTCTCTTGGCCTTTGACATACGGTTCCGGGTACCCGGGGGACGTCAGCTTCTGGGGCAGTGGCTGCGCCAAGAGCACGGAGCCCTGCGTGGGGCAAGCCTGGAGGACTCCCCAGAGGAGCAGCAGCCACCTGGGAGTGGGCGAGGGCAGATGGGACCACATGGCTGTGGCCTGGAGCCTGCGGAGATATGAACGGGGCAGGCAGTGCTGAGGGCTGAGAGGCCAGGCAAAGGCTCAGCAGCGATGGCCTCAGCCCTTGACGCCTGGGCACCTCTGGCCACTCCCTTATTGCCCCCCCCCCCCAATTCCTTCAGCCGCCTGGTGAACCCGCGCTAGGAACGTGAGTTTTCCACCATTGCCCACCTCCCTGGAGAGTCTCATCCCCGCAGGGGCTGCTTTCTGCTTCAGCCAGACTCCCCTGGGGTCTGAGGGAGTGACAGGAGTACAAGTGAGGGCCATTTATTTTTTTATTTTATTTTTCTGGCCACATGGCATGTGGGGTCTTAGTTCCCTGACTAGGGATCAAAGGGACATTTAAAGGTGACTGGGTCCTGTCTGGAGCCTTGAGCCTGAGCACCCCGGGGAGGGCTGCTGGAGGCCGTGTGTGTATTCATCCGCCTCTTGGGTCCCCTCCCGCACGCCCACCCTCCTCCTCCGCAGCCTCCCCAGCCTCTCCAGCCCCTCCAGGCACACTCACGTGTTGCCTGGGCAGCGAGTGGAATGGGGCTTCCCCAGAGACAGTTCCCCTGCTCTGAGTCCGTGCATCTGGAAACCGACATCTGAGCCCTGAGGGGACCTGGCCCGGGCCAGGGAACAGGAAGTGGGGCTGGAGGAGGCCCTGGGAGGGAGGAGGGAGCAGTTACTGGAAATGCGTTGAGTAACTCTCGGCAGTTCCCTTTTTCTAATTCTCTGGCTTGAGCGCCACCTGCTGTCTGATTCAGGAATAGCTCACCCACCGCAACTCAGGAAAAACATCTCGAAAACCACACGCTGGCCCTCAGGAGAGAACAGGGGTGGGAGGGCACTGACTCTTGACTCTTTTGCACTATTTAAAATTTTTTACCATGTGCATGTATCACACACGGTAGGATGGCTCCTTGTGAGTTAGGCTGTCCCCTTTAATGGGCCATACCTCTCCCTCCCTGACCTCTCAGTGGCTCATTCTGTGACCAGCCCGCCTCTTGTAGAAACTGAAGTTTGTGAGCCTGGACTGGAGCCCCTCCTTCCCCTCCCTCCTCACCAAGCATGGCTGGCGACGCTCACTTAGGTAGTCTTTGAATCCTGTCCACAACCCCTGGACGCTGCAGGTCCAGCAGGGTCAGGCCGGCGCAGGGCCGGGGGCAGGCCCAGGCCGAAGCTCCTTTAGGCAGATACCCGGGGCCGTGTCTGTGAGCAGGGGCTGCCCTCCCTGAACCCCCAGGGGGGACTCTCACCCACAGCTTGGTAGGGGACCAGGAAGCCCTTGTGGAGGCTGGGATTCCTGTTCTCAGAGGTCACCCGCAAACTGTTCCCCGTGGACGCAGACTCCCTCTGACCAGTGAGCGAGGGGGTGGGGAGTGCCCACTGGGGAACCCTGCTGCCCACAGAGCTGGCTCACAACAGTCTGCACACCCACTGTGATCGGAGAGGGGAGGGGAGGGCGTGCAGGCAGGTGTGGGCGGCCTCTGCACCCCTGGAGGTCACAGGGTCATGTCCTGTGGTGGACTCCGGCCTGGTCTAGAAGTTCTGCACACCTCTGGGGCTCAGGGTCTTAGCTCGTGGTGGCTTCATCGCAGAGTCCTGTGTACCCTTTCCCTCCCTATTCTCTACCCACAAAGGCTGCCGTTTGCTGAGAAAGGCTCCTCACCCACGCCAGTGCTCTCAGTCAATCGACAGAGGAGTGGATACAGAAGATGTGGTACATGTATACAATGGAAGATTACTCAGCCATGAAAAAGGATGAAATAAGACCACCTGCAGCAACATGGACGGACCTAGAGATTGCCATACTGAGTGAAGTAAGTCAGACAGAGAAGGAGCAATGTCATATGCTATTGCTTATTTGTGGAATCTAAAAAAAGGCTACAAATGAACTTATCTACAAAACAGAAATAGTTACAGATGTAGAAAATAAACTTATGGTTATGGGGGGGTAAAGGGTGGGAGGGAAAAATTGGAAGATTGGGATTGACCCATACACACTACTATATATAAAATAGATAACTAATAAGGACCTACCGTACAGCACAGGGAACTCTACTCGATACCTTGTAATGGCCTATATGGGAAAAGAATCTAAAAAGGAGTGGATATATGTATATGCATAACAGAGTCAGTTTGCTGTACAGCAGAAATTAACACAACATTGTAAATCAACTATACTCCAATGAAAATAAAAAAGAATAAATTAAGGTTCAGAGTGAAAAAAAACGATTCTCTCTGGGAACCCCTAGGGGCCCTTCCAAACTGTCCCCCAGGCCAGCTAGCAGGCTTCATGAAGGCAGGACTGTGGCTGCTGGGTTCTCCATCACTGATGGCTGGTATGCTGCCTTGCCTGGATACGAGATGGTGATGTGCACGTAGCTGAATTTTGAATACCTGGGTAGAAAGCCTCTTAGCCAGCTTCCTCCCTTCCTCCCCTGTGCTAACCCTCCAACCCCCCTTCTTCCAGCCCCACCATCACTTTGCTAAGCAGTTTTTTTTTTTTTTTTTGCGGTACGTGGGCCTCTGACTGTTGTGGCCTCTCCCGTTGCGGAGCACAGGCTCCGGACGCGCAGGCTCAGCGGCCATGGCTCACGGGCCCAGCCGCTCCGCGGCACGTGGGATCCTCCCGGACCGGGGCACGAACCCGTGTCCCCTGCATCGGCAGGCGGACTCTCAACCACAGCGCCACCAGGGAAGCCTGCTAAGCACTTTTTGCTGCCACTTTTTGGGACCTGTCTTTCCCCTCTTCCCCTTCTCCTGTAGGATGCTTCCCCTACCCTACACCGGGCAACAAAACACAGCTATCCAATAAGTGACAACAATCTAAAGATACAAAAGATTCTTAACATGGTTCACGTCTGTAATATTTTGTTGTCCTGTAATAGCGACAGGCACCTCCTTCCAGGCTCGCTCTGGATCGTCCCAAATGGCAAGGCTCCTTCTCAAGCACCGTTCCTCTGGGTTCTTCTCCTTCTAGAGCATCGTTCCTCCACGCTTAGTCCCAGGGAGAGCTTGGGAGGCAACTGCCCCCACCCCATTTCATGAAGTGACCTCTACTCTGGGGCCCCACACACGGCTCAGGTACCTGGGGGATGCTCCCTGCCTCTCGTTACTCTTCCTTTATTGTTCCCTCTCCTCCATCGCTTTCTTCCCTTTCTCCAGGTCTCTGTGTTCTTGTTCTCAGCCTCCTCCATCCAAGCCTAATCTCTTGGAGCTTCCACTCTGCTAAGAGTCATGTAGCTCCATCCTCCATGTACCTCCATGCCTCTGACTTGAGGAGGTAGCTTGCTGTCAGGCTTGGGAGTTTTTATTGTCACCTAGTAACAGGGTCACCACGGAGATGAGGACCCCACATATGATGGTCAGAGCATTTGTCTCTCTTATGATTACCCCAGGGAAGTGGTGCTATAGGTCACAGACCAATTCCAAATCCCTTCATGTTACCTGAACTCAGGGTTCTGCTGCTTCCCCTTCTTCCCTTTCTTTTTTAAAATTTATTTAATTAATTATATTTTTTGGCTGCGCTGGGTCTCCGTTGCGGCGCGTGGGCTTTTCTCTAGTTGCGGCGAGTGGGGGCTACTCTGTTGCGGTGTGCGGGCTTCAGTAGTTGTGGCGTGTGGGCTCACTAGCTGTGGCTCGCGGGCTCTAGAGCGCAGGCTTGGTAGTTGTGGTGCACGGGCTTAGTTGCTCCATGGCACGTGGGATCTTCCTGGACCAGGGCTCGAACTCGTGTCCCCTGCATTGGCAGGCGGATTCTAATCCACTGCGCCACCAGGGCAGTCCCCCTTCTTTCTTTTTCCAGCCCTTCCCACGAGGCTGATTCCTGCCTCTCCTGGTAAAGCACAGGGTAGGGATTTCTCCTGTTAATTCAAATAATTGCAGGCTCTTAAGCTATTGAAAACTGTTTAAAAAAAAATCAAGCAGAGTAATGGGATTTTACCTTTATGCTAGAAAGGAGGAGACGAGAGTCCCAAAGGTATACTTCTGGTCTAACAAACACACAATAGTTTCACAAGTACTTATGCTTTTTGGAAATTGAAGCAGTTAATTTAAATATTGTTTTCAGAGTAATAAGTTATCAATGGCCAACGAGAGTTACAACTTTTTTTTTTTTGACAGCACCTCACTGCATACAGGATCTTAGTTCCCCGACCAGGGATCGAACTCGTGCCCCCTGCAGTGGAAGGGTGGAGTCCTAACCACTGGACTGCCAGGGAATTCCCGAATTGCAGCCTTTTAAGGTTTATAGATGATATTGCAGTGCTCCTATAGCAGTCATCTCTGAAGTCTGAATATCTTAAAAGATCCCTTTGTACAAGTTACACTTGCAAAGATGACAGAAGCATAACAGAGAACAGGATTATCTATTTTCACACCATTGAGATTGAATGTTCTTGATTCACCACTTTATCAGAATTGACTCTGTGAAGCACAATCATGTCTGATTTTCTGCAACTCCAGGATAAGAGGGATTATACTCTCGTCTTCCTGAGATTTATTTCATGAGCATTTGTGGGTCTTGCTTTTTAAAACCAAGTACCAGCATTTCATTACAGAGTATTTAGAGGGAAAAAAAAGGTGGGCCTAAGAAGCTGAAAATGTAAAGAAAAGAGAAAGTTAAGTGGATATGGAACACATTATGTTTTTCACCTTCAGTTGGGAGACAGGTCCCTTCACTTCAAGGCAAGTGTGCGGGCTTGGCCCAAGCAAGGCAATGCAGCTGTGGCTGGGGGCGACCCCAGGGCTCAGGAGCGGCAGAAAGTCCGTGGAAACGCAGTGATCATCAGCACTGCCTTTCAAAAATCTCTAGTGGATACCACTCGCCGTCTGGCTCAGGGGTAGCTGAAATACTGGACAGTTTTACTCCGACTGAGGCTTGACGTCTCTGAGACCGGGAAGACCTCTCACCCACCGACACCCACCGACACCCAGGCTTAACTCAAAGGACAAGCTGTGGAGCCATGCCAGTTGCCCATTTTTTTAAAAGTTCTCCATTTTAGATGGTTGTTTATATTTTTTTCGGGCCTCTCACTGTTGCGGCCTCTCCCGTTGCGGAGCACAGGATCCGGACGCGCAGGCTCAGCGGCCATGGCTCACAGGCCCAGCTGCTCCGCAGCATGTGGGATCTTCCCGGACCGGGGCACGAACCCATGTGCCCCGCATCGGCAGGCGGACTCTCAACCACTGCGCCACCAGGGAAGCCCTAAAGTTCTCCATTTTAGAGACTCAATTTCCATTTCTTTATGGTCCTGGGTCTCTATCAGTTGTCTCCTAGCCCTTGGTTTTCTCTGTCTCTGTCCTTCCTTTCCAGGCTGGGTGCTCTGGGGTGAGGAGCGATGGCCATGGGATGGACACCAGGGCCCGACCCCATCGAAATGAGGTGGCGGAGGGAGAAACAGTCCCGTGACGGGGAGTGGAATTCACCTCTGTGGACTCCTTCGCAGTGCCTGGTCTTCGCTGCTCCACCTTGCCTTGAGTTGGAAATCTGGAGATACAGTCGTGTCTGAGGTCCTGCCTTCTCCCTGGGTGTCAGAACACGTAAGGTGGCCGACTGCAGCTGGCTTGGCCTATGGGAGGGAGGC